CTTTTAGAATGGATGGGTGCAATTTTTTGGACTTCAAATTTTGGGATACGATCCACTCCCATTATAAAGCATGGATTAGCCTGACATTATTTAATATAACTCTGATTGTATTCGTCTGAAAGAAGAATGTCATATACACCTAGGATGGCTTGAGGGTGAGGGTGGCATTTTTGGGTGAACTATCCCTTTAATGGGAACTTTAATTTATATCACTTCACATCACATCACTTGCTGACCAGTGGATCCTCTGCAGTGAATGGGTGCCGTCAGAATGAGTCCAAACAGCTGATAACAACTAATTTGCTTCTTAGATTTACAAACAAGCAGCTTTTCACTTCACAAGATGTTAACTGATGGACTGAAGTGGTGTGGATTACTGTGATGTTTTTATCAGCTGTTTGAACTCTCATTCTGACGGCACCCATTCACTGCAGAGGATCCATTGGTTAGCAAGTGATGTAATGCTACAATTTAGAGTTGGGCCGATAGACCATGCCATCGTCCATCGCCGATGGCTGACAGACAACACGATGTTAAGCTGACATCTTGATCCCCCCCACCCCCACCATCCGCCACATCCCAGTTCTGTGTTCGGAAAGGAAATGAAGTGTACTACGGAAACCCTAAAGGGAATAAATAGCCTACAAGATGAGAGGATGAAAAAAATATTTCAATATTTTTTCTAGCAATTATATAGTTGGGAAAGTATAGGCGACTGTATATAAATTGCGGGCATCAGGGAGCCTCTACTGAAACTGCTTTTGATTGCACGCTCTCATTTTACTTTCACTTTCGAGATTCGCGATCATAAGTATTTGTGGTGCTCTCCCATTCACTGCTCTTCAAGTTTACCCAACTATGACGACTTCCGCTGCTGAGAAACCCGGAAATGTGAAAAGGGTCCATTTGGTAGACATCGCCCAACCCTACTACAATTCTCCAAATTCTCCCAGTTCAGATGAAAAAATTATCTCATCTACATCTTGCATGGCCTGAAGGCGAGTAAAGTTAAAGCAAATGTTCTTTTTTTAGGTGATCTATTGCTTTAAGCAGCAATCTAAATAACAAAACATTTGTAAGTCATATCAAAAATCTTCAATGAAGTATCAAAAGTTTCTTAAAAAGCAACCTAAAACATATGACTGATTTAGAAGAGCCTTTGAGACTGTGTGCAACAAGTCAACCTTCATGAATTGGCTCAATACAGACACACATTTATGCAAAAACAGCTCTACTACAGAACAGCAGTGACCGTGTTGTGACAAATACAGTCACTGAAAGCGATGCCACTGAAACACGGAAAGAAAACTAGACAGTCATGACACTAACCTTGTTTTATTTTGTACTCTATGGCTCTTCATTTGCCAAAAATGATGGCAACCATGCACCAGTAAACCGTCAGTGCAAAGCAAAGAACACAGAAACATTGTTTGCCTCCCATATGCCGAAGACGTGACAAAACGAGAGCAGAAAATTTGACCGAGACACTGAACACCCTTGAGGAGTTCTGTAGGAAACCCCTCGTATTTTACCTGTGATACCGCTGGTAGTGCAGCTCCCTCTTCCTGTTTTCCTTCAGGTCCTTCTGTTACTGGCACAGCCGGATTGGCCACAACACTTTTCCACTCTAAAGATCAAATAAAAAAATGATTTTAAAAACAAATGCCACATACAATCATGTTAAGTCTTTCAAAATTACATAAAACATCATTAAAGAATGAACTAGAAGCTAAAGAAAAGCAATATGTGGGAGCTTACCTGGTTTGAGTGTTTCAGCGTCAAGCAAGCCTCCTTCTTGAAGACTTCGAATATCATCGGCTTTCACTTTATCCCATGGGATATACGTGACACCCCGCTCCACATCCCAAAACTTCTTCAAGTCCGTCTTTATGCCCTTATTCAATGCCCATGCGATCTGATCAAGGACAACAAGTTAAAAAACTGCCCACACAGATTCAAAACGAAAAAAGTCATCCAACAGCAAACACAACACTTGAAATTGTTTGGAAGTTTATTCGAGGAAATAAATTGATAAAAACAATGATTATCAAAGTTAACTTCTTACTTACCCATTAAAATAATTACATGAGAAGAAATGTGCAGAGTGATGTAAGAGACATAAAACTAGCACAGCTATGTAGTAAACTGACTACTAAGGCAACGGTCAATTATACAAATTATTATTATACAAATATATTCATCCACAGAATGCTATGACTGAGCATTTAGAATCAAGCATTGTTTCCTATTCTAGCTTTCTAATAAACTTAGCATTGTATACTATCAATATTGTTGGTTCTGTAACAAATTGCTTATGTTCTTGGTTTGAATAAAAGTGTATGCTACATGTATTCAAGAGAGTCGTGTAATAAGCAATAATAACTGAACAGGCATCTTAACCCATAAATACTGCCGACAGGAAGAAAAGGTTGGTTACGGTACCTTAATGGTTTTCTGGTTGACTTTAACAACACCTCTGCTGAGTTTATTCAGGGCTGTGTAGGCATCTTGTCTGTGCACCATGACAATGTAGGCACAACCTCTGGGAGGAATCATCTACACAGAAACATATATTTAATAAAAAACAGTTCAACTTTAGTTAGAGTGTCAATACATGCCAAAAAAAATCCACCAATGCAGAATTCATCCAAATAGATCATACTGGTTACCCATTTATTCATGTGAGCCAAATTTTCAATACGGAAGAGATGCAAATTTTACCAGCAGGCTTTATATACAGACCCCGTTCCAAAATCTAGGGAGCAGCCTTGCTGTCTACATAGACAGCTGCATCCTAACTGAAATGTAACCATGTAAGAGACCTATCCAAGTCTCATATACAACATTTAACAATAATACATGGATAAGCGAACAAAACCATATTGTAATACACATAAAATCCAATGCATTCTGGGACAGCCTTCTCTACATGTGATGCCTATAATGCTCATTCAAACGTTTAGGGTCAGAAGGGTTTTGGCTTAGAAGATATATTTCAAAATGAAATTTATTCCTGTGATCAAATCTGAAATTTCAGCATCATTACTCCAGTCTTCAGTGTCACATGACCCTTCAGAAATTTTCTAATATGATGATTTGCTGCTCAAGAAACATTATTATTCATTTTAAAAACAGTTGTGCTGCTTTATATTTTTGTAGAAACTGTGAAAAAAAAAAAATCATTCTGACCCCAAAATTTTGAACAGTGATATACATTGATATGATTGATCTATACTCACGTTGATGGACTCGATCTGTCCAAATTCCTCCATCAGACTCACAATGTCCTGCTGCTGAGTCTTTTTGTCCAGCTGTCCGATCCATAATGTAGTACTGCACACTAAAACAATAAAAACAAAAACACTCCTGAACAGCATATCAGAACAATAACACAATAAGTTGACACCTAACATTTATGATCAGTGCTAAAAAAAGACAGCTATAAATCCTCCTCCATGTTTAAGGCACAATTATGTAAGATAAGGTTGTGTTCTCACCACTGAGAGTTTCCTTCTTGATGGGCGGAAGTCCTTTCTGTCGTCGCTCTCGCTCTTTCTCCCTGTCTCTCCTCTCCTCTGATCGTGCCTGTGGGGAACGGCCTCGCCGCTCTCTGGATCGGGAACGCGTGCGGTGATACCTTGACCGTTCTCGGCGGGAACGTGAACCGGACCGCGATCTTCGTGAGCGTGGAGACCTGGAGAGACACAACATTCGAAAATTAAACCACAATCTTTTTAAGAGACTTTATGTTCAAGAGCATTCATTCAAACATACCTTGATCGCGTCCGTCTGCTGTGTCTTCGATCTCTCCCATCATGCACCGAGCGTTCACTCTCAGCTGAAGCCTGAAATGACAAGTCAAAGATATAATGTATGTATTTTATGTATTGTATGTATTTTAGCCTCACTGATGTTGGTGGTCCTACATCAGAAAGTTCAGAATGATTTTAGCATTTAAGTATGGCCCTATGAATTTCATGATGCAGAAAACAATCACGGGACACAATCATAAAAATGGAAATTACGGTATAACACGGAATGTCACAGAATTCCACAAATTTTGGATGAATAAATCAAAAGTAGGGCAGTACACCTGATCAAATAGTGATGTGGATGTGTACTTTTTTTATTACATTTTTTTTAAACATTTATTAATTTGTTAATGTTTTATGGAGTCATTTGATTACCATCATTTTGATAGTAAAAAACAAACAAAAAAAGATTAAAACTGACAACACAATTTCTGAAAAAATACAAATGTTGAAGTTTCATCAATTTAGTTGATTAGGCATGCTTTTTGATAAAATGTATAAAAACAAAATTTTATTAAACCATTAAAATGGAATCCAGAAAAATGAGGAAAAAAATAAAACAGATTTTATAGAGCCCTAAAAAAATATTTTTTGTTAACTTTTTTATTAATTATTGTTAAATTGTAGAAGTTTCAGGAGATTAATTAGACATGTTTTTCATTACTAAAATGTAACCAATGAGCAGAATCAAGAGAAATTTAAATTAAATGGAATTTAGGAAAAAATAAAATTCATTTCAAAGGGGCCCTATTTAAGTTTCAATAAGAGCTCTACTTAGAATGGTGAGGACGTTTTGAGTTACGACTCCGAGAGACATTAATATCTGGTAAAGGTGCAGAGAGGATGCTCTATACCTGCTGGGTTGTACTGGGCTGTATGACACTCTCATCAAAGACTTGAGGAGTATTATCTGGTATTTGGGTCTGAACCATCGCTGGGAACTCCTGAGGTGCCATCTGATCCTGGGACGCCACTTGACCCTGTGACACCATCTGACCCTGCATCTGCGTCTGGACACGAAGAAACACTTTGTATTATTAATTATAATTAATGTATTACATACATTATTTTTGACATGTCCTTATTCTTTATAGCTCTGTGGGTCCAAGTAAATACCTGGTTAACAATTTGGCTTAGAAGATGAGCTTGCAGGGCTTGCTGTAATTCTGGTGGGAGGTTTCTGTAAAGAATGACAATATTAACTCAATACTAGAAAAAATATTTAATTGTATGTGAACAGGGAGGAACTAGGGTTTATTATGTCCTACATGGTAATGGGAGCAGCAGGGGCTGGTTCAGTCTTTTCCTCCACAGGTTCAGGGTCATCATCATAATCAAATCGATCCAGCAGAGACTGAGTCGAACCAGAAACAAAATGTTGCAGGCAGTGAATTAATAGCTCTAAACCACGCGCTCACTCTGTGGTTTCTATATAGCATAAGACCAGCGAGATAAGGCTGATATCTTCCAGATTCCACTATTCAGTCCCTAACCAGATATATAAGGATGTGTGGGTTATGTCAAAATGGTTGTAAAGCATCAAATTGAACCATTCAGACTGCTTACCTTAGCTAATGATGGTTTCTGCTCAGGGGGCGGAGCAGTGGACTGAGGAAGCCCCGCCCCTCCGGCCTGCTGGAGAGTTTGGATCAGCTGCTGTAACTGACACACAAATATATCAGATTAAATATCAAAATATAAATATTTCAGTGATCGCAGAAGCAGTGTTACGTTAATATTATGTAAAGAATTTTATATTCTCATTATATATTTTTTGTTTTAATAATTTTATGATTTGTCTTTTTATATTTCTGTATAGCTTTAATTTATTTGTTTTATTTGTGTTTTAGTTCTAGTAATTTTAATACTTCAGCTTAAATAAAATTTAGAAATGTTGACTTTACAATTAACTGTAATAAAGTTTTTATCTTACATTTATATTTGATCATTTTAAAATGTTAACAACACTGCACAAGTGAAATTTCAGCCTGCTAATGCAAATTTTTAGCACATTTCATTAACACTATGGAGAAAGTCAAGCATCTCTAATGGCTAGACGAGAAAAACAGAGGAAATGTGCAACCTATAGTATGTATTTTGAAACAGTTTTTACTCAGAAACTGCTAGTAAATTTCACAAAGAAACAACAATCCTTTGAATTAAAAACGACATTTTGAAGTAGAAAGACTGAAATAGTGTTTTCTACAACATACTCCAATAATCTTTGTTTTATTTACAATATCTTTTGCAGTGTGCCAGGTTGCTCCTTTGTACTCCTTCAAAATCTTATGCTCAATTATCTGTTACGGGAATAATACAGGAAAAACAATCGTTTTTCATAAAGAAAGCATTCATAAAGAAGTTTTTTAGTGCAGTGATTGTTGTTTTACCTCGACGCCCCCTGTGCCCTGGAGGAGTTGGGCGACTGCAGCAAGGGCCACTGGGTTCTGAAGGGAGTGCGGGGCTGCTGCCGTCTCAACCGCTGGTGCTGGTGGTGGCTCTGGCACTGCAGTTTCCACTGGCATTGGCACAGCTGGAGGCGCTACGAAAAGACATGAAAACTGCAGTTTAACAGGCTGCTAGTTTGAATAGGATACAAGTTACAGTAACAATTCAGCCAAGTATATGCACTACTATTCACCCTGAAGGGATAAAATAGTCTCAAGTTGATATACTCCAATATAAATATATATATATATATATATATATATTTCTTTTTATATCTTGATATCTTGCCATTAATAAACATTGATGATTTCTCACACGCATTTAAATTTTTTTTATCAATCCAGGAAAATATTCCAGATAAATGTATAAAAATTTATAAAAATCATACAATATTGATATTTATCATGATATTCATTTACCATTAATGGGGAAGGAAATGCTTTCCACATGTTTGTTAGACCTTGTGAATGAAGGTAAACACAACTTTGCTCACAATTACATTTTAATTTAGGGCCCCATGAAATGCATTTTAATTTCCCCTAAATTCTGTTTTCCATTTGATTTCTTATGGATTCTGTGTTTTATGATTCAGTACAAATTTATCATAAAAAATGGTGTCTAGTGAAATGAATTAATAAAACATTAACAATTTAATTAATCCTTTAAAATGTAATCAAATGAAAATCAATTGCAAAACATTGCATTTTCATTTTTTTATATTATTTTTTATATTATTTTATCAGACATGATGCTGCACAACAGAACTGTATAAATTAATAATAATAAAAAA